CACGACATGGCGGTGGCGGCAACAATACTACAGCGAGAATAAAAGTTACGCCTTCTTTCTTTGCGTGAACATTTGGGCGGTGTTATGCAAATCTTCCCACATAGTGACGTAGGTATGTGGGGGCGTGTTAGAACGAGCCGTTTTAGGTAGGCGTGGTTGACTCTTAACTTCTATAAAGAATATCTCTTTGGATTTGAGACTTTAGTCTTTGCAACTTTATGGATCTTCTTTATGCACCAAGAGCTTGTAACACTCCAAAGAGAAAGGAAAAATTGAAATCGCATCATATGACCCCTTTAAAGGGCATGTACTCTGTGCGGACTGTGCATGAAAGCAATCTTAAAGCTATAGTTCACCCAAAAATGAAAATTCTGCCAACTTTTACTCACCCTCAAGTTGTTCCAAACCTGTATGAGTTTCTTTCTTCTGTTGAGCACAAAAGAAGACTGAAGAATGTTGGTGACCAAATAGTAGATGGTAGCCACTGACTTCCATAGTAATGAAAAAAAAAATACTATGGAAGTTAATGGCTACCGTCAACTGTTTGGTTCAGGGTTGGAACAAGTGAAGGGTGAGTAAATGATGACAAAATTCTCTCTCTCTCTCTCTCTCTATCTCTCTCTATTTGGGTGAAATATCCCTCTAAACTGTACAAAAAAAAAAAAACTTCAGCCCTTATATAGAGAAAATGATTGTCATCTTTTATATTCCATCTTAATTATATTCCTATATTGTATTTATTACTGGTATAGGCCTATCTATATTTGTTTGAAATGCTTTTATTGTATCATTGTTTAGAAGAAGAGTAATTTCAACCTGAAAATCCATAAAGATACAGTTAGCTATTCCAGACATTTTATATTTAAAGTGAGTTTGTATTAATTCTCCTACCTTCCATGTGTGGTAGGCTATCTTTTATGTAGGTAATTATAATGAAAGCTGATGTTCAGATTTATATTTAGTAAGAAACAAAACAGCAAGCTATTATTCAGGAGTTGCTTTTAAACAAAGTAATTTTTGCGAAAAAAAAAGTTCCTTCCACAATTAGAATAAGTGAAAGTAAAATCTAATATAGCCTACAATCAATAATTATTATTTTAATATATCATAAGTGTAAATACATTGATGTGACATTATAAACATATTAAAAAATATATGATGCGTCTAATATATCAATGCGGTACAGGAATACTATACTGTGACCCTTTGCGAGTATGACAGCTTTCGTGATTGACATGAAATCACGCGAACCCGTAGCCACGCCTCCCTCCTGTGGTCGTCCAATCAGCGATGAGCACAATCGCCAAGTTGTTCCTGGAACGTCATCAGGAATCTGGTGACTGAAGATTACGTGGTGAAGTTAGTTAGCCAGCTGCTAGCCTCGACAAAACGGTCACACACAGATGTAACTCCTGGAGAAATATTTGCATTAACCGTGATTTCCATTACAATGAACCTCAGTTCTGTCAGAGTGTATGGAGTTTTTACGGTAGGTTTACGCTTGTCTGATTTAATGGTTTAGTATAGGAGATGGACGAGAGCTAACATTAGCTAGCTCTGTTTACAATTTATCTGTTATTTATCTGGGCTTTTTATCGGCAGTTTTGGGGTCGATGTTGTCATGCACTGTCGGCATGTGATTGATGAATGGTTCTGGCATCAAGCTTACGTGTCATAATCAAATCCGACACTGGTTAGTTTACTACAATGCAGCATATCAAGCCATGTAAACAGTCAGTCTCTTTGACTGTTCAGTCTATTCTAAAACATTGAAACGCATCAGAATTTAGTTTTATGAGTTGATATTAGTTATTAATTTTACTGTATCGCCCATGTCTTGCTTAAAAACAACTCATCTGCTTTTAATAATCCTGCACTAGAGTATCAATAATGTAAGTGTAGTACTATTTTGATATGTCACCTCCACTAACTATATAAACAGGCACAGATGTACATTAGATAGTGATGTGTACTTAACAGTTGACTCTTAGCGTGCAGGTTGGCAGCACAGCTCACTCATTTCATTCAGAAAGGCATATGCTGATTAAAAGCCTTGTTTGATTGTATCCTTCTGCTAATGTAATCCTAATTTTCTTCACAGAGTCAAGGCGGCAGAGAGTAACACCAGAATGAGATCTGCATACGCCATGGATATAAGCCGGTCTGCTTTACGAGGACCCTAAAGTGTCTCAATCAAGAGACATTCAAATCATTGCTTCACACACACAGCTAAACGCTACATCTAGACTACAGAGATGTTCGCAAAGTTGAAGAAGAAGCTGGCAGAGGAGGCCGCCACTGCCCCTCGCTCCGGCCGCATCCCTCGCTCCATGAGCAAGGAGTCCATCACGTCTGTGGGCGCAGATTCAGGCGATGACTTTGTGAGTAGACCTTTCTCTGCTTTTGTGTAATTCTCAGTCTCCAGCTTCTTGCGATATCATATCTTCATGCATCGTTTAGACCCATAAAGTTACTTGGTCTGTTCGAAAAATTCTAGCTGGTGATTATAACCAGGAATACAGTAATCATTCTAGGATTTGATATGATAGAATATCTTGATCATAGTACAATGTTACTGCTTCATTCTTGTTCAGTGTATACTTTTTCAATCGTTAATGTATTGAGTACTTTAATCTCTACACCAATTCTTCTTTAGTGCAATTCACTATCGTTCAAAAGTTTGGGGTTGGTAAGATTTTTGGCAAGATCAGGGATGCATTATTTGTTTAAAATACAGTTAATTAAAATAACTTTTCTATTTTAATATGTTAAAATGTAATTTCATCCTGTGATGGCGAAGCTGAATATTCAGTATCCACTGTACTGTTTATTCTTGGCTTATTCAGAGTTTGGAGTTTGGCCAGAAAGAAATTATTTTGTGTTATATTTCTCTCAGGGTTGCACTGAATGGGGGCAAATCTTTTTACATTTTTCATTAAAAAATCGTATTAAAAATGTTACTAAAATATTGAGTCTTGTCATGAGAATATTAAATAAAATATTGTAATCATTCAAATGAACCTTTTGCAACTCTAAAATAAGTTCTAACTAAACTAAAACCTTCCAAGTGCACTTTCACTTCTAGGTATCAGTAAAGTGCCAGTTGACACATTTTGATAAGCAGACATAGTGAATACTTTCCTATATCCTATCCATAGTAGTTATTCCTGTTTCAAATGACTGGCATATTTTCAGTATCCCTTCTAGAGAAAGTTATATGACTGTGTACTGACTGTGTTTGCACAGTGCTGCACCTGAACAACCTGGTAGTATGACGAAGTTTATTACTAGAGTGCTGTGCTATGCTTCTCGGGAAGCCAGTGAAATCCAGAGAGTGCTAAATAATATCACATGCTTTGACAAACCAGTGTAACCTGACACTCTTGTCCTCTAGCAATTAATGGCAGACACACTCAGGGTTAGGTTCAGGTTGTCTTTCGCCCTAAATAATTAAAGCTGTAGGCTTTAATGGAGGATGAGAGTATCAGTAACAGGTCTAAATCAAAGCCACCCTTATATTGTAGGTGTTTTGATGAGAGACTTTTAGGTACTCTTAGCAATATAAATAAACATCTCTCTTTTGCATTCTGTAGTTCTTATAAAGGATGTGCAATTATATGGGTCATTTCTTTGATATTAGTGTTTTGTGTTTTTCTAATTTATTGGTATTGGTCAGTATTTTATATTTATTGTTCACTCTCATTCCCACTGTTTTTACATTTAGGTAGTATTTGCTGTCATCTAATGCTCATAGTGAATATTTAAAACAAAGCACATTTTAAAATGAATATCAGTTTGTCATACTGTACAATATTCTTGTTTCCTAAATTCACATTTATTTTAAAATGGTTAATTTAGAAAATGTTTATTTAATTTTTGTTAAAACAAAAAAAATTTTTGAATATGAATTTACTTTGACTTAATATTAATATTAGCTATTTATCAGTTAATGGCTATAACATTAAAATAGTTAATATAAAAAAAAAATAGTATAAATAATATCTAATCAGTAATTAGTATTAAATAATAGATAGTACTAATCAGTATTGGCCAGGATATTAATATTGATGCATTCCTAGTTTGTTCTATGGTATATTTTTACCTATGATTTATTTTTATATTCATATGTCTCTGTTATTCACTCTTAGGCGTCTGATGGCAGCAGCTCCAGAGATGATGTTTCTTCTCAGATTCAGCGCAGAAACGATCAGATACGAAAGCTGGAGGCCAAACTCTCAGGTATCGCCAACACAATACAGTGAAACTCATGTAAACACAACAAGAGAAAAAGACTGAAAGGAGGAAAAAGATACGAAAGGCCAAAGTGACTGCTTTGCAAAATGTCAGTGGAAAATCAATGAGAAAAGGAAAAGCTAGACTGGAGGCTGTTACGTGTAATTTTTTCTCACCTGCCACTCATACGGGCTGAATCTATTTCAGCCTGTATTTGGACACCTTTAAACCCTTTATACATTTTGCCACAATGGAAATGTATAAAGCACATGACATTTGACAGATTTGCCACAAAACGAGCCAGAAATGAATGCAAATGAGTCCACTGTAACGGCTTGGAAAAATCTGCATAAATAATAGATACCTGGCTCTCACTATCAGCCTGCCATGGTATCAATTACATAGCCTGATCTAGAAACTCCTTTAACCCTAAATGAGCAGTACTAGATAAGATTATTGCATAATTGACCTGATCAGGGATGATCTATTAGTGTAAAGGTCAAAGGTCAGTCATTGTTCAGCCAACATTGTTCTCATCTCAGAAAATCATTCTGTTTTTCCCTTCATTTGTTTATCTTCTCAATCATGTTTGTCCCTTTGTTTTCTCTCCCCCCCCCCTGTTTTTGTCCCTCCTCCCACCCTCCCCGTGATTCTCCCCCCTCATCCTCCTCTGCCTCCCTCCGGGTGTGTTTTTGTGTGTGTCGGTATCCCATTCCCCAACCCTAGACTACGCTGAGCAGCTTCGGCTAATGCAGAAGACCAAGGAGAAGCTTGAGATTGCATTAGAGAAGTATCAGGATTGTACGTACCGTTCTTTTCCTCCCATTTTCGCCTCTTCCTTCTTTTGGCTTTCTCTCCTCTGCTCTGTTTCCCATTTGTTTGTCCAATGCTTTTACACAAACCTCACGCAGATCAAAAATACATTCTTACAGACAAATAAGGTTGGTTCTTGATCAGAAAGCAAAAAATGAAGATTCACTTTTAATTGATTGTTTTATCACAAATGTCTACAGGATTTAATATAAGTTAAGCTTGATTATCACTGAAAATTATTTCTCCCCCAGTTGAAGTTGACATGTGACTACTGTAAATAGAATCACTTTCTGACCTTATTTTTATTAATTAATGTCAGATGTTCATCTGCAGTATTCCCACTTCAAAAGAACAACTTACACTAATATTATTATTGTTATTGCTGTTATTATTATTATTAATATTACAGCTAAATTAATAATTCTATTACTGGAACAGTAATTTTTGCTTTAAAAAACAAACAAAAACAGATAAATAAACAAATGAAAACTAAGGCTTCAATGATTTTCTTTGGTGGATTCATCAGTAAAATCCCACAAATGCTGTTGGTAGAGCTTGACTTGTGTTGAACCTGGAATATTTCTTTAACCTCTTTCTTTGGGAGTTTTCCACGCCTGGGAAATGTGTGTCTGGGGCCATGGCTTCTGAGTTTTAGAGGTGAAATCTATAGAGCAAACACACTAAAGTCAGACTCAGGTCACAGGAGTTTTTAAAATCCTAACCTAAATCTTCCCACAAATCTTAAACATGCACACACTACAATATTTGAAAATAGTGGCGCATCACACACTACAAGATTTTATTAAGATTGTCATGCCAGAGGGAGCACCTCACGTGACCTCACCGAGCAGATCATCATTGAAGTTTCAGTAACTAATGTTTACGTATGTTAACTAGCTTTCTACACTCACCCCCAGCGCTTCTCTTAGTCCTTGCGGTTGTGGTATGTATTTGACACATTATACAGACAGTTGTGTTATTGCCAAACTTCCACAAGCCGTTCCTCCATCTCCACTATCCAGCGGACCCATACAGCAGCTTGTTTTGTGGTCACGCATTGGCTATTTTTAAAGTACTGATGTAATCCTGATTTTAAAATCCTAAATATCAGACACATCGATCAGGGTGGCCCCAATTTGCGTGTGCGAGCAGATCAGGAGGTGCAAGATTCGATCTGTAAATGCCTCACATTACCAGATAATTTGAGGTTGAGACCGAGGTTCTCAGGAAGATTTTTCCTCCGATTCTCAGGAGGGGAAAATCAGGGATAAATCGGCCTAAAACTCCTGTAGTGTGAGCCTGGCTTAAGAAAAGTCTTCTGAAGTCTTTTGCTGCTTTAAACACAATTTTTGTGAGGGTGACATTTTTTCAGCAAGTGTAAATTGTACCTGTATAGCAACCTAATATAAGACATTTCAACCTAATATAAGACATTTCATTTCAAGTGTTATGAATCTAAAAGCTCAGATCCCATTTCTAGACATTCCCAAAGTAAAAGGAAAAAATACACTGATTATAATCAACAAAAAAAATGGATGCTTGTACTAACAATCTATTTTACAGCTGTATTAACAAGGACATTTGGAAATGACTGGCAATGTTGTTCTTTTTTCCAATAAAGTTTGATTAATAAAACTAAAAAGTTAACCAAATTAATATTTTATGTACTGTTATATAAAGTACTTTACATATGTTGGGTCTAACATTACCATCTGTGGTAACACCTAACCACTGATTTCATGTTACGTCTATCTGTTTTAAAGGAATAGTTCACCCAGAAGTAAAAATTTGCTGAAAATGTACTCATCCTCAGGCCATTCAAGATGTTGAAAAGTCAGTTTCATTCAAAAGATATGGAGAAATTTAGCATTGCATCACTTGCTTACCAGTGGAGCCTCTGCAGTGAATGGGTGCCGTCAAAACAGTTGATTAATACAACACAATAATCAACAAGTAATCCACAGAAGAAAATTTAATTATGGTTTATGGACTGTGTGTTTTGGCCAGAAGCAATGGTTTAAAGTTAAAATGTCTTCACAAGATGTTAATTGATGGACTGGAGTCGTGTGGATTACTTGTGGATTATTATGCTGTTTTTATCAGCTGTTTGGACTCTCATTCCGACGGCACCCATTCACTGCAGAGGATCCATTGGTGAGCAAGTGATGTAATGCTAAATTTCTCCATATCTTTTGAATGAAACTGACTTTTCTACATCTTGAATGGCCTGAGGATGAGTACATTTTCAGCAAGTTTTCATTTTTGGGTTATAGAAATGTAAAATGTAAAATTTTATTGAATATTTAAAGTGCTTTAACAAAAATATAAGCTGCACATTTCTGCTTTTAAACCCTCATCTCTTTCCTGTTAAACTATCAATGTAAGTGTATGTAATGTAAACATGTTTGCCTCTTGTTTGCACACGCACGAAACGTATTTAAAGTATCATCTGTGAAAACTAAGCGTGCAACACAGATGTAGCCCATAGACACTGTTTTGAAAATGATCTAGAATATTTCTTTAAGATAGAAATAAGACAAAAGATTTAATCTTTCTGTTTTTTGTGTTCAATCAGCATCCATGCGCAAATTTCAGGACCAGAATGAAACTTTCCAGTCCAACAGAGCCAAGATGGCAGAGGGCATGTCCTTAGCATTAGAGAAGAAGGACCAGGAGTGGATGGAAAAGCTAGCTATTCTGGAACAGGTAAAGATGCTTTATAACATATTGGATAAAGATTTGGATAAGGACTGTCGGTCTGACTAGTGTTTTGTAAGTCACTTTCAGTTTAAAAGCATCTGATCAATGATTATTTCAAACATCAGTGTTAATGACCTATTGTTTTTTAATTGTTTTGTCTGCTTTCTCTCAAACAGGAGAAGTTGTCACTGGCAGCTCGGCTAGATGAGATGACGGAGCAGAGTTTAAGTCTGTTCCAGAAGAGAGATGACTTGGATGAGCTGGAGGGCTTTCAGCAGCAGGAACTGGCCAAAGTCAAACACATGGTCAGCACAGTGAACCTTGAGTATTCTTTTATGAGTTGTGCACAGCAATAATAGCATTAAAACAGACTTCGAAAAATTACACACCTCACCATCCTCCATATTCCTGCACTCAACAATAATTTTTACTCTAATACATATCCAAATTAAAGGAATATTTAATCTAACAGCAAGAAGTGATTGTTCAAGCAGCCTGATCATAAAATTTGTCCTGCAGCTGCTGAGGCGAGAGGAACAACTGAGTCAGCGGGAGAAAGAGCTCAAACTGAGAGGAGAGGAGCTGAACACAGCGAGACTGACCCTGAGCCAAACCCAAGACAAGCTGTATGAGCTGGCAGAGGAACACGAGGAGATGTGCAGGATCAACTCACAGCTACAGGTCCAAAGGTATGTGAAGAGGTACAGAATAATTTGACTTCCTTAAAGGAATAGTTCACACCCTGATTCATCCCTACTACAAAATATTTGGAATGGGATGAAAATGTGATTGATGGATATTCTTCTTTCTTTCAATAATAATGTCTTGAAGACAAAAATCAAATCCCCAGTTTGTCTCTCTGTCTCTTTCAGGGATGAGTTGTTGAATGAGAGAACAGATGCTGAAAGGAGGGTTGTGGCTCTGGAGAGGAGAGAGCAGGAGTTACAGCGGCTGATCCAGCAGGTGTCAGAGGATTTCCAGAAGGTGAGCACTTGGCAACTTTCAGCTCATCAGTACAGATGACTCTCAGAAGCCAAGAGGCTCACTTTTGGGAACAGTGCCACACCTCCCATTTGAAAGTGTTTTCAGCTCACCTAGCACTTTATCATTTCCTTCACTGTTATACATTTATAACAGTGTTATAGCATTGCTCATGATTATTTTTTGGCTTTTTTTATTAAACCCAAGTACTATATAATTTCCAATATTTCCATGTTATATAATTTGTTAATTGTTTTGTTGCAATTTGTGTGCAATGACTTGTTAGTTTTGCTGTGGTATTGAAATCATGGAATTGCAATTGACTACACATTATTTCTGTATTGTTTCTTCTTTGTTTTCCAGGCACAAAGCAGTGCAAAGGCACTCGAGAAATCAATGGAGCAGCTCCAGTCTGAACACAATAAGCTGGAGCTACAGCACGAACAGCACAAGAACAAGGTCTGATTGACTCAACAAAGAATTTGTTGATACTTAAGACTTCACTCGCATTTGCAAGTGAAAATTACTGTCTGCAAATGTGCTAAATTATGCAGGCACACATGTGAGTGGCATTCAATGAAAACCTGTAGGCTATATAATTACATCAGAATAAGCGCTTCCTAATTATTAGGACATACAAAAACGAACTATATATGCAAATTACATTTGTTTGCTTTCTATAGCTTTTCATTTTATATTTAAGTTGTTCTCAAGAGTATCAAGATAAAAATTATTTTGACAATGCATCTTGAGATACTTGTGTGTTGTTCCCTTTCACTGCACTGCATCTAGCTGTTTTTATTCATTTAAATTGATTAGTCAGGGTTTCTGTTGATTCAGTCTGTCATGTTAACTAATAATATTGCATAAAACAGAGAAAAGTATATGTCTTATTGTCACTATTTCATGGCAATATCGTTATAACTCTTCATACCATACTGTGATTGGCCAGGTGGCAGTGACAGAGGAGGAGCGAGAGCGTGTAATGGCTGATTTGCAGGAGAAGGCTGCTTCCTTAGAAAGGAGACTAGAAGCGAACTTCTCTCTGGATGAGCACCTACAGGAACTGCTCAAAGAGGTCAGAGGACACAATATACACACCTATCGTCTAACTGCAGTTTCAGTCATCTAAAAACCACCTATTGTGTTTGTGTAGAAGTCTTCATTGGAGCATAGGTTAGAGGGGGCCAGAGGAGAGTTACTGGAGGAGAGAACAAATCACACCACTGCAGTCACTTCACTGGAGGCCCAGGTAAACCCCAGCATCTAAACTCATGTTCTGATCTACATGAGGTTTTTACAGTTGTGATTTCCATGCCTGGAAAACTCTTTCAAGAAATAGTCTTTTTAAAAATGATTTTTTATAGTCAAATATTGAAATGTAAAGGTATTTTGTTGACACATTGCACTCATGCAGCCTGTATGTAAAAAAACAGTAAAAATAGTAATATTGTGAAATATCATTACAATTTTAAAATAACTGTTTTATATTAGAATATATTTTAAAAGGCAATTTATTCCTGTGATGCAAGGCTGAATTTTGACACTTTTGATAAATTTAATGCGTCCTTACTCAAAAGTATAATTTAAAAAAAAAAAAATACAGAATTTAATAATGAATAAAAATTGTAACTTCACTGTCATAACTTTATTTCGATGATAAACTTCCTGTTTCTCATTCGTTTCCAGATCTCTCGGCAGAACGCCAGCATCACAGATCTGCAGACTCTGGTCAAGCACAAAGACGACTCGTCCAGGGCTTACAGAGAGAGGACAGACACACAGGTGAGTTAACCCACAGTTAGCCCACACGTCACGTGGCTGTGGCTGAATGATCTGAATGACGTGTGTGTTGTGTCAGATATCAGATCTGGAGCAGAGACTGGCTGACTGCACTGAGAAGATGAAGAGTCTGCAACAGCAACTTGAAGACCGTGAAACGCATGCAGAAAAACTGGTACGTGATGTCAGTCAAAGTCTCACCAAACATCCCAATGGCTGGCTCAGTTTGGGTCTCCGTTTGTCAGAGACTGACAGACTGTTTTTGCTGAAATCTCGCCCCCTTCTGTCAGATATCAGTCATGACTACTGGGACGCTAGCATTAGACAAGGAAAAGAACTTATGGGGTTTAGAGTTATTAAAAATTGGCTTGTCAGGCAGCTCATCGACTGGCTAACTCCTTTTAGTTTTGCCTTAGAGTGTTGACCTCTGACCTTTGGTCTCACAGCAGGCAGAGTGGGCAGAGGAGAGAGAGAGACTACAGCAACAGGTCTCGACACAGAGACAGAGAGGCTTGGAGAAAACAGCCAGACTGGAGGAGGAACTTCTTACTCTACAGAGAGAGAGAGAAACCGAGGCAAGCAAGCATCAGGACAACCTGGTTTGTGAAACATCACTAGTCTTTCTTTAATTATTATGCACTTCACATGGGAACGTTATGGGTAAGTTTATCTGATGTTTGTCTCTTTTTCTCAAGCGGTTACTGGAGAAGGAAAAAGCTTCACTGTTGAAGAGCAAAGCTGAGGTTGACAGCACTGTCGAGAGACTGACCGCAGAACTAGAGCAGTCCAGAGTGAGAATCATCTGCCACAACTGATTCACTTCACAGATTCACTATGTAGCATACACTACCATTCAAAAGTTTGGGGGCAATAAGATTTATGTTCACCAAGGCAGCATTTATTTATTTATAAACATTTCTTCTTATTAACCCTGAAAACAGATGTGCTGCTATTTTTTTTTTTTTAATATTTGAATTTTTTTTGCACTTTTTTTGTGAGCTTGAGTTATGTTGCTGACCAGTATAACATTTGTGTGCCATATTTGTCTGTTACAGGCAGAGTTGATCAGCAGACAGACTGTAAGCGTTGAAATTGCCAAAGCTCTGGAGGAAACCAGAAAACAGAGAGAAGAACTCCAACAACAGGTTAATTCACTGACATGTTCAAACATGCATCCATTTGTTTACTCATGAAGTCATTTTTCTGTGTCAGGAGCTTGATTTATTGCTTGATTTTGATAGGTCGGCAAAATGACAGAGTCTCTTGAGAAGGCGGAACAGGAAGCGAGTCGTCTTTCTCAGGATTTAGGAGCAAAGGAGGAGGAACTAAACACGCTGAAGGAAGGTGAGACACTAGTTGTGTTTTGGCAGCAGGGGATCCCCTGTCCACCCCTCAGAAACTGAAACTAAAATTAAAACCATAAAAAATCCATTATTTAAAGTAAAATAACGTTAACTAAAATAAAATATAAAAACTCTTTACTTCAGCTAGTTTCTAAGGCAGCATTACTTATTTTAATTTAGTTTAACTTGACATACTAAAATAACTAAAACTGAATATATATAAAAAAAAAAAAAAAACTAAAAATGACAGACACAACAAAATTACTAAAACTTTGAGATGGTAATGAAAATGGATAATATAAATATAAAAATTGATTCGAAATGTAAAAAAAAACTTATTTATAATTGTATCGCAATATCACTGGTTCAAACCCCTATAAGTAACCTTTATAAAAAATACTGTTTTGGTTATACATTTAATTGTTTTTTTAGATTTTAAATGTACTTTAATGTTTTTATTCATTAATAATTTTTTGAATCATTGCATAGTTGTCATTTATTGGAAAAAGCAATACAAAACAAAAAAAAAACAGCAGATTTCTTAACACGTTTTTATATTACCTGGCAAATCATATTGATTTTGATATTAAACTTATGATAATGATATTCAGATTCTCAAATCTTAAGAACACGAAACGGTTCGTTTCAGTTCGATTCGGACATGTCCAAAAGTAATGTTTTTCGGTGAGTAGGTTGGATTCAGTAACTGCTTTGACTTATTCATTTGATTCAGTGAAAGATTTAAAATGATTTAAACCAGGGGTCACCAGACACGGTCCTGGAGGGCCAGTGTCCTGCACAGTTTAGCTCCAACTCTAATCAAACACACCTGAACCAGCTAATCAAGGTCTTACTAGGTATACTTGGAACTTCTAGGCAGGTGAGTTGAGGCAAGCTGGAGCGAAACTCTGCAGGACACCGGCCCTCCAGGATCAAGTTTGGTGACCCCTGATTTAAACTGTGAGCTGTGAGTCTTTTTAAGCAATGTATTAAAAGAACCTACATCAGAACTTCACCTCTTTGTGAACTGGTCTACATTTGTGATGTTTTTGAGTTCTGCCTGCAAAGTCAATACAATAGACAGACGTGTTTGGCACTGTAGATTAAATCTGAAACTTTTATGTGCTTCATATTTGTCTGCATTTCTGTCTCTTATTGTGTGTGTCAGAGCTGCGGGCGGTCCGTAGCAGTCTGTCTACTCTGCAGGCTGAGTGTGAGTCTCGTCGTTTGGAGGCTGAGGAGAGAGAGCGAGAACACAACTCTCAGCTGACGTCACTGCAGCAGGAAGTCCTCACAAAAACACAACAACTCTCTTCATACCAATCACGGGTCAGTGTGTGCTTTTACCCACCTGAGCATTGAGCTGCCTGTTGCTGTTAGATACATTGTTTTAGCAATTTAATGTTTTTGTATTTGCATATTTCTCTGTGTTTTTAACAGGTGTCTGATCTGGAGGGTGAGGTGTTGAGTTTAACAGCACAGTCACATGCAGATGCGTGTGATGGTGAGCAGAACGGGACGCTTACTGTAAGTGATCTTGACCAGTTGCAAAAGGTCAATAAAGACCTGGAGCAACAACTGGCCGAAAAGAACAAGGTGAGAGCAAAGAAACCACTGAAATGAAAGAACATAAGCTTAAAGAAGAGCAGAGATTTTAAAATGATCAACTTGTATTTAAATGTAATAACAAAATTATATGGAGAACATATTTTTTAATGTACTTTTATCATTTCAGTTTTTACCTATTTTACTTTTATAATTATAGAGAACATAAATTATTTAAAATAATTACATCAATCAGGTGTATGGAGAAGGTTTTAAAATGTAACAAGAATGTGTCTCTATTATTAAATTATTTTCTTAATAAATGTGTTATACATGTTATTGTACATTTCAAATACATTTTATAAATAAAAGTCAAGTCGCCCTACATTATTTGAATTTTAATGTGAAAACTGTATATCCTGTTGCACTTGACATTATGGAAGTAAAAATGTTTATAAACAAGAACATTTAGTATCAGAGTAGATTGTTCATACACAATCACTAGTATTTGCACTTAAATATTTGTTTCCCCCCCCACCCCAGACAATAAAGCAGCTACAGCAGAGGCTTGCAGAACTCAAGAGGACACTGCAGAAAGAGCTGGTTCGTATGTTTATTCAGAAGTATTAAAGTCCACGTCAGCTGTCAGTAAGCATTTCCTCACAGAGTGCTTGTGCAACAGAAACTGAAGCCAGATCCTGACTCTGAGATGAAGGAGAGACTCCAGGAAGGCAGGCAGGAGAGATCAGCTGATAAGACTGTCTCAGAGACACAGATGCCCGCCACAGCTCCAACCTCAGCTCCAGGACTCCCTCAAACTTCAGGCCCGCCTCCCATCACCTCCAACACCACAGTCACCAACAGTTCAGACCTCACAGACACAAGAGAGATCAACTTTGAGTACCTCAAACACGTGGTGCTGAAGTTCATGTCCTGCAGAGAGGCAGAGGTGAGGGATTGATCGGTATCTGACCTGTTCGCTACACCAGACTTATGGAATTAGTGTTTCTTGCTAAGGTGTCATTATTACTGCTGATCATTCTTGGAGTTAGGTATTAGAGCAGACTCCTAGAAATAAGTATTAACCTTTAGTTTGTATCCTGGCAGACGATTAAGTGACCAAGTGGGGAAAAAAACCCATATACTATCGTCCAAAAGTTTTGTCTGCTAGTTGTTTTTTTTTGTGTGTGTTTGTTTTTGTTTTGTTTTTTTAAATAGATCACCCAGAAATGAAAGTTTGCTAAAAATCTACTCACCCTTGGGCCATCCAAGATGTAATTGAGTTTTTTCAGCTGCAGTGAATGGGTGCCGTCAGAATGAGAGTCCAAAAAGCTGATAAAAACATCATAATAATCCATAAGTAATTATGGATTATGGACTGGTATTTTGGCCAGAAGTGATGGTTTAAAGTTAAAATGCCTTAAAGATGGATCTGTTTCTTACAAACACAGCTTTTCCCATTACAAGACATTAATTGATAGACTGGAGTTGTGGATTACTCGTGGTTTATTGAGTTTTTATCAGCTTTGCACTCTCATTCTGACGGCACCCATTCACTGCAGAGGATCCTTTGGTTAGCAAGTTATGTAATGCTGAATTTATCCAAATCTGTGCTAATGAAGAAACACATTTTCAGCAAATTTACGTTTTTGGATGAATGCTGTTAATAGTTTTATTCAGCAGGGATGCTGTAAATTGACAAAAAGTGACTGTAAGGACATTTTATAATGTTACAAAATATTTATATTTAAAATAAACGCTGTTCCTTTGAACTTTCTATTGATCCAAGAATCCTGAAAAAAGCATTACATTTGCAAAAACATATTAAGCACATCCGGTCGTCCTTTGTTGCTGAAGCATTTGATTTATAATGCAGATTACTGGAGCCACGGTGTCCTATAAAAGATTTTCTGGTACATTATTTACCCTAATTCACCTCTTCAATCCAGTTGGTGTGTGCATCACTGATTTTCAAACACTAGAGAGTCCTCCGCTAACTCTTCACTATAGCAGTATAAGTGTTGCTTGTATGAATTCTCCCATGAGAGGTTACCTCTCTCTGAGTCTCTCTGTCTCTCTCTTCAGGCTTTCCAGCTCATCAGAGCCATTTCTGTACTTCTGCATTTCACAAAAGAAGAAGAGGACATGCTCAAACAGACACTGGAGTACAAGGTGTGTGAGAAACAAACGTATATGCATAAATCTGTAAGTATGATGGAGGTCAGCCTGCGTTCTTCTCTAGCCTCATCACACCCAGCAGTGCTCTCCTCCGCACCCATGAGCTAACTAGGCCACTCTGCTAAGGCAGCTAACAATGTGGGTCAGGATATCTGGCTCACCGCTCTGAATCAAACCATTAGCACTCAGTGACACGGTCAGGAATAGCAGCTGGCAGGTATTTATATCTCACCCCAGCAGCAGTGCTGGAAATCACCGCACATCACTGTGCTACATTACGCTCACTGCTTCAATCCCTGCCGCCCCTACCCTGTGGCCTATGTGGAAAAGGTTGATTGTTTTAATACAGAAGTTTAACTTTATTTGAAATAGGGTTAAATGTCACTAGTAATGTACATATCCGTTTTTTTTTTGTTTTTTTTTTAATGATCAGAAAAGCAAAATATTTTTCACTTCTCTCTCTCTCTTTGCGCGATCTCGAAAGGGGAATAGTGATTCGTCTTTTCTACTGTAGATTTATAATTTAATTTTAAACATCTTGTAGATTGAAGCTGTTGTGTTAGTACTGTTTCTAAAAGCAGGCGGCATAATCATATTAGTTACAGGCCAAAACATGAAAATAATCAGCTATTGGCATCAAAAAGTGGATAATTATTTATTTAAATAGTTAATAATTGTTGTAATAATTCTAAACAATAATAATAATTTTAATGATAATAAACATTCCCATTATTATTAAATTAATACATTAATAATATTATTGTTATTAATAAAAACTATAAATATATTAATAATAATTTACTGAGTGTATTTACTGTTAATTATCAGAAGTATGTGTTCAGTAATCACATTAAACATAGTACACTACCGTACAGTAAGATTTTTGTATTTGAAAAGTCTCTTAGACTCACCAAGGCTGCAATTAGTTGATCAAAAATACAGTAATATTGTGAAATATTACGATTTAAAATAACTGTTTTTTTTTAATATATGTTTTTCAAATGTAATTTATTCCTGTGATGCAAAGCTGAATTTTCAGCATCATTACTCCAGTCTTCAGTGTCACATGATCCTTCAGAAATCAGTCCAATGTGCTGATTTGCTGCTCAAGAAACATTTCTTATTATTATCAATGTTGATAACAGTTGTGCTGCTGAATAAAATTATGAATTTCTTTAAAAAAACTGTACTGTAAATATTTTGAAGTAAGTGAACAGTAAACAAACAACTTAAGAAATTCCGTAAAGTTTCTATAGCAGTGCATTCCTAGTCACAACATTCTCAAACATTTTATGCACCGACAAAACGAGGTGGCGAGATTTCTGTGTTTTTTAAATGATAGAAGCGCTGTTTAAGTCTTAATGTTTTATGTGCGTTTCAGATGTCATGGTTTGGTTCCAAGCCCACACCCAAAGGTATCATACGGCCTTCCATCTCAGGAACCTCTAGTTGGAGCTGAGAGACAAATACTCTGGAAAAAAAGTGAAATAGGGAATAGTGAATGATCTCAGTAGAAAACTACTGACGTCTGGAGGGAGCAATTGCCGACTCCGCAGTTTCAGTCTCTGCCTCAACAGTTCCTATGTAGCTCATACCCTTTAAACAATGGGACACAAAACAACTCTCTCCATTTTTCACTAAAATATTGCAGGGACTGGAAACAAATGCTTTATCAACATCTTTTCGTGACTGGGGAATTTCATCTTTTAAGTAATGGTTAAAAGGCATCATCCGTCTCATTCATATCCTCCGTAGTTTCTACAACTGCTGTTTCCAACATCCTTCAACTGGAAAAGGATGGAAAACGATTCTTATTTTCATTTACTTTTTTTGTAGCTCCAATCTGAGCTCCTTGAAATCACAGTTGGGGGAATCATATGCGCTGCTGTATTTCAGTGGTCCTCATATAGACAATAAACGCATGCCCTTTTTCTCCAATACTGGACGTCAGTGAAAATCAGGAATGGGATTTCACATACTGTTGTGATTTTGAATATGTGGAAGCATCTTTCTTTAATCTGCCTTTTTTTGTGTAAATTACAGTTACGTACATTCCATACAAGTATTTATATATGAATACCTGTATATAAGTGATGAGGATTTATAAATCAGTGGATACATACCTTAAGTTTTTTTTTTTTTGTGATCATACACATGCATTAGTCTCAAAACTGTGATCATATGAGTGTGTATGTATATGTGTGCGAGATTCTTCACTCTGGGCTTGAAACTGTAATATAGAGGCGTATATGCACAGACTGAGGAAACAAGCATGCATGCCTTATACCGAATGCTTTGATTGTACTTTGGTTTTGAGTGTATACTGAAGCATTTGAGTACACTTGAAGCCTTAACATTCAAGGCTAACTGCATTTCTATTTCTCTGAGAACATGTCAAAAGAAACAATAACTGGACATAGCAAAACAGGTTAAAAGGTTCCTATAGATGTACAAAATAAAGAACCAGACATGACTGATATGCATATTGGGACAGAATCTTGTTTTTTTTATTCTAATGAAGATATAAACTGAAAAAAGTGTCTAAAAAGTATGTCCCTGAGAAGTTTATCAGATCTGTAACTTATTTTAGTATCACTGAAATACGATTGCAATAGATTTACTAGTTTTTATTAATAGTTAGAATTCATTTTTATTTACAGATTTTCAAGTTTCTGTCATTTGTTAAATTTTTCTGTCAGTTTTATTTTTAGTTATTTTAGTACATTAAGATAAACTACATGAAAATGAGATATTGTTAATCAATTAGCTGCAATAAAAGTTTAGATTTTTTAGATATTTTAAGTATCACATTTTTTTTTTTTTTTTTTAAGTATAGTGACCCTGATCTGTCATGTCCACATAGATAAAGAAAAGAAATACACTCTTATTGTTCTTTATTGCACCAGGCACTTCACAATAACCCGACCCCACACTACGATTTGAACCATAAATCCACCACCTAAATACTATATATTAAACATCATCCTCTTTCTGTACAATAAGAAAAAAAATGAGAAGTGGAACTAAAGAAATGGAAAAGTACACATCTGAAAATTCCAGCTAAATAAAACAAGCAAATACAACTTTCATATTCATCACAGTATTTTGTGTCCTGAAACTGCTGATCAAGGCTTAGAAAGCAAAGTCTCGTCATGAGACTCATCGTCCTTCCGTCGCACAACCGTTCACCTTCATTAGTCGAGAATCGTGTCTTCCGTAATAACATATTGAAGAATCAATCATTTATATTAAATATCATACAATATCTCTGCTTTTGAGTGAAATAATCGGTTGAGCTTGAGTGGTTTCCCCCCGGATAAGGTTGAGTTGTGAGAGAAGAAGCTGTCCGTGTCTAAGAAAGAGAAACAAATCCCATGGCTGGTTAGCTCTCGATTTCTTTCGGCTTCTCAGACAGATTTTCTCGCAGTCAGCACCCGTACGATAGACCCCAGACCCCCCACAGCGAAAGCCTGAGTGAGAAGACAATAACACAAATAGACTTGTGAGATGAAAAACATACTCCAAGATCAAGTCTCTTTAATCCAAGACCGACCTTTTCGTGCCACTGGAGCAGGATGGCGCTGCTGTTGTCTGAGGGCTTCTCGAAGCCTCTGTAGATGTACTTCATCAGCAGGTCCACTCCGTTCTTGTCCAGAGACTTCACGGCCGGCTCCATATCGCTGCTCTTGAATGCAGTCAGCACTCGTAACACCACCGCCTGTGCCCGCTCCTGAGAGAGGAGGTGGAGGGAGCGCAACAAACAAGTGTAGGAGGTGAAAAAGACAAACACTAATCAAAAAGAGAAATTCTATATGCACTCGATGGACTGTTTAAACGCGTAATAACTAGTGATGCACCAAAATATAATTTCAACCAAAATTCTTATATATGTAAATCTATGTAAATTAAATACTGAGTATTTTAATGTTTACACCATTCATTCCATTCACATTCCAAAGGCAAATGAACAGCACATTTCAGACACATGACATGTCATTGCTATGACAATCTGTTATGCATAAATAGGGCCCCTAATAACAGTGTTCTTGAACATCTGAAAGCTCTTACTTTCACTGCTGGATTCTTGGAGTTGATTGGTGGATTCCTCAAGGCGATTTGAAATGCTGTCATCATGTCCCCTGTGCATCACAGTTAGTTAAGGAAAGCGGACCGACCAATCAGAGACTCTCAAAAACCCCAAAGAGCATTCTTTAGATGTGGAGTAAATATTGTTTTTAGTGCTGTTAAAACTTTGGAAAGTATTCGAAAAGTTTACAGAGAAGCTGGTGTTAAAAAGTACGTATCTGGCATTTGTCTCACTGGTTGATTACGAATGAGGTTTAAATCTGAAGCTTGTAATTTTTCCCGTGTTAAAATACTTCCTCCTATATGCAGAGACAACTATAAATAAATCATTTATAGTTCTCTGAAAAGTGTAAACTGTTTCTCTGTGGCATATAAACACATTGTTCTGTTTAATCATCCCGAGCAGCCCGAAACAGCAACATTTTGGGGACGGGACTATGTCTTTTGTCCAACCAATGGATGATGAGGTGGGAGTGTTCAAGAAACCAGTTTGAAAACAATCATTATTACTCACTCAAAGATTTCAGAGATCTGAGTATTAATATTCACTACCTTTATGCGCAAAGTCATCGCAAAATCATCCTCCTTTAAAGAAATCAATAATGATCAAAAGAAAATGCAAAACCTGTTTTAAAGACATATGCTGATGACACAAACATGCAATTCATGTCTTTATTATATTACAGAGGGTGAGATGTCAGATTCAGACCTCTTAAGCTCTTACAGTCTAAAAATGTGCACCAAAAATGGATCATTCCAGTTACAACCGCTATGACCTGATTAAATAAATGACATTCATGCACAGCTGGGGGAAAGAGGGGGAGTTTTTTCCAATGAAACAAAATAATTGCTTTCTGATTTGGCAACACTGGTGTGTCACTTAAAAACACAACCGAAGACTATATATCACGTCAAAACTGCATGACTATGTCATATTCAAGGTTATTCAAAGGTTATTCTAAGGATGTAAAAAACTAAAATGAAACTAAAATGTTTGTGGCACCAAAAGTAAACTAATAAAAAAATAAAAATAAAAAGTGCATTCAAACAATTATTTTCAGTCAGTGTAATATCGAAACAGCCCTCAAAAAATATTAAAACAAAATTTACAACATAATGTAATTGATCTATAAGTTAAAAACTGATGTTTACTAAACTAAAGCCAGAAAAAAAATTATCTGAAAAAAAACAGTGATAACTTACTAAAACTACTGGAGATTGAAATAAAACAGAAATAAACTAGAAATTAAAAATAATAATTAATATATATATATATATATATGTCAGTGTCATGCGCTTTGCTTGGCCATTTGTTGGGATAAACAG